TGAGCCTGTTCCATTTCTTTATTCCTTAGGCGTTGCACCCTTTTCTTCTGGCTTCTTGTTAAACCTCCTGGACACCATTGGCCTTCCTGCCAAACATATTTTCTTTTATTGCTTTCTTCTTCATAATCAGCCCAGTCTTGGTCAACAACTCGCTTTCCAAGCCGATCATGAACACTTTTATTTTTTAAGCGCCGATCCATGTTATTATGATGATATGCATCTTGAGTATGGATAGACCGGCGGTTGGTTTGAGACTGTCTAAACTCCCAATACTGATTGCTGCATTCTGGACAGTCATGTCTGGTAGGCAACTTCAAACCTTCATTCCAGCAATGTCTGAAGAAAGGACCATCCTAATGTGATTCGGCTTATTTTCTTTCATACCTCTTTTCTTTCAGTTGATGCTGGTACGCTTGATCCTTTAACCAACGCTGATAATCCTTTTCCTTCTACCACTGCCATTTATTCAACAGAATCCGAGATGTAACTCACGGCTTTGTTGTCCCTGCTTTTGACGTCTCCCCCTGCTCGTATCGGCTCTTTTGCTCGGCACGATGTCTCCTAATCTCTCTGTACTCGTCAGCCGATATTTGCATCTTGGAATCGACTATTGCAGCTTCTTTTGATTTGGTTGACGTTAGGACCTTAGTCTTTCCTTTGAGTAGCCCAGCATCAACCATATTTTGTTCTCCTAGGAAAGGATTATCATCAACTTTCATTTTCCGAGGTGTATCAAATTTGAGCTTCCCCTGCTGAATAGCCCTCTGTATATGCTGCCTGAAGATTCTACATTTATTAGTGGAATGAGAAGTAGCATTATGGAACTTGTAGAACTTCTTATTTTTAACTGATCAGGGGGCAACATGACATGACCATCGGGCAACTTGATCTGCCCTTTCTCGAGCAAGAAATCGAAGAGCTTATCTGATTTGGTGACATCAAAGTCATAGCTCTCCTCGACTCCTCTTTCCCAAGGATTTGGCACCATCACTGTCTTCTTGCCCCAATTCTATTCAGTCGCAGCAACCTCTTCTTCTTCATCTTCATAGCCGTCATCGACTGAGTATGGATCATAAGGTTCGGCTACTGTGGTACTCTTCTGAAACCGGGTATCTCTGCGCATACTCTGGAATTGGCTATTGAGCGCCGCCACTCGTTGAGCCAATTGACCCAAGTTATCAAATTCTTGTCTCAGCAGCTTTTCTTTCCACATTTGCAGCATTTCTTGAACAACTAAAGCAGCTAGTTGATCATCAGCCAAATTTAAGTACAAGCACAAGTTCCTGGTTTCTCGGAACCTCTGAAGAAATTTAGTGCCCGATTCATTAGTCTTCTGTCTTATAGTTGTCAGATCGATAATCTTTTTTTCTCCAGTCCTAGTGTAAAAATATGTATGAAACTTCTCTAGGTCAGCCCAATTGACAATAGAATTGACTGGTAGTGATGAAAACCAAGTGAAGGCTGGCCCTGATAAGGACAAGGAGAAGAAATGAACTCGATGGGCATCCTCAACTGATGCTTTGCCCAATTGTGTAAGATACTGACTGATATGTTCTATCGTGCTTGTACTGTATTGGCCAGTGAACTTAGCGAATTCTGGGAGCCTATAATTTGTGGGAAGAGCGATCAAATCATACCATTCTAGATATGGGCGTTTGTACGAGAAGGTCAGCTCTTTTGGCTTCAGACCGAACTGATTTTTCATCATCTCGGTCACCCTCAGCAATAATTCATCAGCTTCCGGATTTGGATTCCTCTGCACCTGCTGACCCATCTGTGGATTGAAATCCCGTGTGCCTTGATATCCTGGATTTGGCATCATGTGAAGGGTGTTATAATCCGTGCCATAGTGATACCCTTGTGGAATCTCGATCTGCTGGGTCCTTTACTGGCTTGTTGCTTGAAGTCTCTGATTGTAAACATAAAGATCTATATCTCTACGGATCCTTTGAATTAATAGTGCTATTTTTTTAGCCGATGATGGTATGTGGCCTGATGTGCCAAAATTGATCACCTGGTTTTGACTTTGCCACGCCGGCTGTTGCACATGTTGTACTGACGGTCCAGGATTATACTGTATCTGATTTGCAGTAGTCCCTTGAGTTTGTTCAGATGAACCCTAAACTGTCTGGACACACTAGTAGAGAACCTAGCTGTAGTCCTGGTTCTCAACCCCCTTTAATCCCGGTTTTGGAACTGAGACTATGCAATCGGGACTAAAGGTCTTGATTTTTAGTCCCGGTTCCTCCAACCGGGAGTAGAGGTGTTTATTGGGTAAAAAAAGTTGCAGCTATGGAGATTCAAACCTACGACCTCCCACTTCAGCTCTTGCACACGTTACCATCTCACCTACCACCACACATCTAACTTAGATAAGATACGCTTTCCTTTTAAATTCAGTTTGGAGACACCTTTAGTCCGGGTTTGAGAGATAAACCGGGACTAAAGGTACCTTTAGTCCAGGTTCATGTCTCAAACCGGGACTAAAAGTCACACTTTTAGTCTGGGTTCATGTCTCAAACCGGGACTAAAGATTCTCGCACTGACGTGCCTCTGACACACCTCGGTAACCATTGGGCAGGGACCTTTAGTCCCGGTTGGAGATATCAACCGGGACTAAAGGTTTTTCTAGTCTCGGGCACAAAAAATACCGGAACTAAAGCCAAATTTCGAAGTGGATCAAAAGTTGTTTCTCTACTAGTGACATCACCATTACCAGCTGGTGCTGTTTCTTAAATGGCTGGTACCAACTTGATTACTCTCTTGGGTTGACGGATCTAGAATGTTGTAATAAGCCGGCCCACCTTGACCAACTGGAAATCTATGAATCGCCTTTCTCATGGCGTTGTGGAATATGTCCAAGAAAGCTTCGTTATGGCTTGATATGGCATCACGAACAGATTTGTCTACAACTTCCTTAAAGAAACGCCTGTCTTCATCTTCAGTTGTATCCGTCTGCCCGTGTAGTAGAACTCTTGGTAGTGAAAATTTCTGAATAATTGTGTTATCACGTGTTTTGGTGTAGGACAATAAACACTTGTTCTAAAACTCTTCTATAGCTTTGCTGATGATACCCTTATCCTCATTAGGTAGATCTTCATAATGCAACATAAGGATGTTGTTGTTGTTGTGAACCGCCATGACGATTGTGGGGTCCCACCGGGCGTGCCAGAAACACGTGTCGACACGGAATTTCACCCCATGCCGAGGACACACGTAGCAAGCCGGAAGGGTCCGCTCAATGGAGCTGGAGATCTGCCTAGCTTTAGCGCAAGGGTGGTCGATCCTACGTACTCCTCCCGAGACGTGCCAGTCAATTTGACCCTGCAATTGACAAGGAGAGAAAGCTTATCAGTAATTAAGGGCAGAACATGCCGATGTTACCAGACAGTCCCGAATGTGCGGCTCTGAAAGCCGATATGAAAGGAGATCGACTAAATAGTCGATTCTAGCATATTCGTAAGAATAGATCAGTTAAAGCTCATGGGGTTGTGTAAGAAGAATCGGTTATCATTATGAATATTATTGTTTAAACAAATACTGGTCACTGGCAAAAAGATATCAACAGTAATTAGTTCATGCTAAGCCAATGACTGTAAGTAACCGAACCCCTTTTTATGAAAGAAACAATTCATCATCATTCAACCATTTAATAGAGATAAATCTAATAAACACATTAGATCTCATCTATCGTTGTGACCAGTGGGGCATGAGGCAGAATCATGCAGGCCGTAGAAACAATAATAGACTCGATGACCCTAACTTATTAGTAATATCAGTGGGGCATGAGGCAGAATCATGCAGGCCGTAATATAATAATAAGATCATGGGGCTAACACATCTTTCAACCTATCGCTACTTCAACGATCTCGTGATGCGAACCGTTCGTGAAAGCACTCGATATCGGCTAAAATAGCCGATTCAGACATAACGCACAGTTAAGGTCATGCCCTCTCAGTAACAGATCTACCAAATAACAATCCCCGCTCCATGGTGCTAACAGTGGGGTGTGAGGCAGAATCACACAGGCCGTGATAACGGGCCATGGAACAGATTTCGCTAGCCAATAGATCCATTCAAGGTCAAACACGTCTTAACCGCACGCTATGCACGATCAAGATTGACATAAAACAATCGATAAAACATAACTCATCGTTTAAAGTGCAGATTAAATCAGTTTAGATTAACAAATGATGGGTTAACAAAGATGTAAGACCGATCTAGATCGATCCCAATCGGGCGAAGTGATATTGCTGTAATTAAATAAATAATGGAAGCAATAAGCAATATCGGTAACTTAATGGATCTATCCAAAGGAACGCCAGCCTTAGATAGAGCCGATAATTTGAGCTTAATCTAATTCGAGCAGTGGAGGTCGACCGGATCGATGCAACCGTACTTGAACTAGACAAGAATCGATAACTAACTCATACCAGAGTCGCAGTGGAGATCGACCGGATCGATGCAGCCGTACGAACAGAGGTATAAGCCATGACGGTACTTACAGACAAGCAGTGGAGGTCGACCGGATCGATGCAGCCATACTTGCTGAAGAACTCGTCGAGATCTACTCTACTCCTACCTCTAAGGGGTGGTCGGAGCCGAAAAAAGTAAATAACTTGTATTGGATTGATTGTGTGTCTTACAATAGCCGGGCTTTGATATTTGTATCCAGGACCTACGCATGACTCCTGTCTAAGCACGACTCATCACAATTTTGACCCTAGAGGAAATATTTCTAATTTAAGAAAACTTGGACTTTAATCTTTCCCTTTTTTAGAGTCCAACATGTCTCATCCTGGCGCCGATCATAGCATTTGTCGTTATCCGCTGGCGCTATCTGAAGAAAGCCGATTTTCAGTGTTTCGAATCAGCTGATTCCAATCTACACGCAATTGATTCCTTGATGGCATGATCTTGGAAGCTTTCGAGTCCCTGCGACTCTCCTTCCAAATTTTGGTGTAAACAGCTTCTTCTCCAGCTCCAGCACTAGCATCTACATCTGCTTTGCTGCCATCCCCTGCCTTATCGCCACCAGAAGTAGTTGCATCCGCATCAGTTTTGCCACCTTCATTTCCTCCAGCATTGCCAGTTGCGCTGGAACTGCTGCTCTTACTTGCTTCAGCTTCTTCTCCAGCTCCCGCACTAGCATCGACATCTGCTTTGCCACTGCCCCCTGCCTTACCGCCACCAGAAGTAGTTGCATCCGCATCAGTTTTGCCACCTGCATATCCTCCAGCATCGCCACTTGCGCTGAAACTGCTGCTCTTACTTGCTTTAGCTTCTCCTCTAGTTCCAGCACTAGCTTCAGCCCCAGCAATGGCTTCATTTTCAGCTTTATCTAGAGCTTTAGCATCAGCAACAGCTTCAACAACCGCTTTAGCTTCAGCTTTAGCCAGAGCTTGACTCTCAATCTCAACACGAGCATTGATATCGACACCAGCTGCTACACGGCCAGACACTCCTAAAATGTAAGCAAGAACATTATGTTACTTTTCATATGTTAAAAAGATATAAATATTTATGGTGATGTATTTGTAGCCATGCAACTTCTTGCTTAACTGCGCCTGTTTGCATCTTTTATTGTTTGTTGTTGCAGATATAGCTAGGAGTATGTTATATAACTAGGGCATGATACTATTGATATAGTTTACCTTTCACAGTCAACGTATTTGCTATTACTAGGATGGATGATATATCTAAATAAATAACCTTGCGTGACAATGGACAAAATGCAGTAGTAATTAAGCATGCATTATTATTATTACCAACTGCATCCTCAGCCAATGTTGACATGCTGATGGCTATGTCTCCTGCAACTTTAGAAAGGTCACGCGCCACACCCTTCACGATGTCATACTTCTCCTTTTCTGGCATTGCAGCATCGAGGGAGACAGCCTTGCAACGTTCTGTGGTCTTCTTAAGGATCTCCTGTTGAAGCCTGAGTGCAAGCACGATGCCAGCGGAAGCAACACGCTGGCCAACTACGGCCATCTGTGTTATGAACGACGTATAGAATTATGAAGTAAAGAATCAAATCACAGAGGAGACACACGATTTAACGTGGAAAACCCCTCCGATGTGAAGGGGAAAAACCACGGGCACCAGCCAGCAACAATCTCACTATCTCAAGAGTTTTGGGTTACACGCCTATGGCGGCTTACAAGAGAATCAAGTCTCCACGAAACCCTAGCAAGGGTGTATATATACTGTACCGTACCGCGGGGAGCTCCGCCCCCCGCACCCCCCCAAACACAGGGGCGAGACCTGATGGGCCGGCTTCAGACTCCGCTACGCTCCGGCCCAAGCCTCCGGCGACGGGCCTCCGCTTCGCTCCGTCAGAAGCCTGGCCTATATCCTGGAGTGAATTTGGAACAACTCCAACAATCTGCTCCGCGACCTCTCCGGCCATGGCTCTCATAAACTCCGCCGGTTGAATCAACAACACCAATTTCATGTGGAACACGATTTCGGAGCTTGTGACGATGGTCTCTGTGTGTTTCACCATGCGCTTTGACAGTTCTTCCTTGGCCTTGAGCAGAACTGCAGCCTCACCAGCTGCCTTGCTAAATTCTGCATCTGGCGTGCTTGCCTTGTTCTCATTCTTCACCCCAATTAAGCCCCGAGACAGAAAAACAAAATATTAGTTACTTCATATCTGAAGCATAGACCAACAGCACTCAAGACATGAGCAATCTACATGCATGGCAATGGGAATTGATATGAGAATATTTCACGGTACATACCGGCGTCCGTAGTCGAAATCCGACCCTGCTGCTGGCTAGCTAGGCTGAAAAAAATGGGACAGCACCGGCGTCGTCCTCCATGCTGCGATGAGCAACATTAGGAGAACTACAACACTATTAGAAAACTTCGCCATTGCTGATCTTTCTAACTTGCCTCAGCACTCTACTGACTCCAGGATTTGATCCCTGTTGAACATGATCGATCGAGCGCATCCATTTATACAGTATGGGACTTCCTCCTATATTTGGTTCTCATTGACAAAGATGAGCGGATGGAATGGCTGTGGACGAGAACATCGCCCAAAGCAAGCGAGAGTGGTCGCGCATAGTGCGGAATGGCCATGACATGCATCCACTCATCTCCCTTCTTGACGAATGAACAATAAAAATTGAATTGTAGTTTGCTATATTAGTATGTCGTCGTAGAAAGTTTTTTCTATGCCGCATGCAAGAAAGTAAAAGGATGAAATTAAAATGGCCACACAATTCACACTTGACCGCAGTCTCGACAGTTGTACAAGCAAGCTTCAGAGACATGATAGCAAACGTAGGTAGTGACTGTCAATCTCTCTGGTCATGATGACCAATAAACATTTGAGGCCCCAACTTGTGTAGGAGCTAGGAAGAAGACAAATAGTCTCATCATATATGAATTATTGCACACAACTGTGAGACCTACTAGATTTAGGTCGTGCAAATATACGGAGTGTAAGAGTAAATTATTGCAAAGTTTTTGCCGGTTGGCAGAAGCATTAGCATATTATTCATGATGCAAAACGACCAAATATACAGCAATTAGTAGTAGTAGCACTTTTTTTTCGCGATCGGGCCTTTGGATCCGTTTTTCATAAAGAAGGCAGGAAGGTGACCAAAAATACAAAGTTGTATATCATTATGGTTGTGCTGTAATTACAGGAGTACATGACAAACACTCTACTGAGAGTAAGAGTTACTCTCGTAGTTAGCCACACCATTGGCGACACCTGTACAACCAGACAAGCAACAACCTCTCAGACTTCACCCTGGATGCATCCTACGTGGCAGCGCTACGCCCACGCTACCGGCACTCGGGGGTAACCGGAACCTCTTTTTCCTTGACCCCAACATGCACTTCAAGTTTGACAACCAGTATTACAAGAACATCCTCATCTACCGCATCCTCAGCTCCAACGATGTGCTCATCGACAGCCCCACCCCGGGCTGGCCTCATCAAGCTCAATGCCGCCAACCAGGATATCTTCTTCCAACACACGGGGGCCAATGGTGAGATCAGGAAGAAGAAGAACTACAAGGAGGGTCAACCACAGCTGATTGATCGATAATCAGTTCAACGATAGCCAGCAACCTTGGCCGAGTGCTTCTGGTTGCTTATTATGTCTCTGCTCTCCTCTCCTATTTAGTTAGTTGGTTTGTTGATTCAGTGGTCTCAATAGTTTGCTGAATTTCTTATTTGTTTCCTTCAAACCGTACGAATTTTCCTTTTGCCCATGCATGTGTTGATTTCTTTCAAAACTGTTGGTCTTCTTAGAGGAATCCTTTCAATTGTAGCTTAAAGGTGCATTATAATTAATGTTGGTTACAGTACTAGTACTTGTATTGTAGCAGTACTAGTACTGGTGCCGCGATGCTGTCTTAAGGTCAGTCTAGAGTTTCATTCATCTAATAGGCTGCCACATAGCATTTTACGACGTAACAATATTTTTAAAATCTTCTCTATCTCTTCTCTTCTATCTACAACTTAAAAGCAGCCAGCGTTTTCGTTCACCCGGCTAATCACCGCGTGCCTGCGATCCACGAGTTGCCCGGCAAAACCACGTCTCGCCAGAAAAAAGGAAACAAACAATCGTGGAAGCACACCCCCGCAATGCCTTCCAAAAAATAAACCGGCGCCCAGAACTTTTACGAGAAAAAACACGTCTCGCAAAAAAAAGGAAACAAACGATCAGGGCGCCGGTCTCACGCGATCGCTATTAGCGCCCCCGCGACCCCAGCTTAATCCACGCATGAAAATAAAACTGCCGTTGCCGTGACCAATCGACGTCGACGCGATCTCGTCCAAGCCGCTGATGCGAAGTCTGGTGCCGTCGGCGTGGCACCACGACGTCACCCGCGATCTGCTACTCCAATCCTCCGGCGACCCGTGGACATCGACGCGATCTCCTCCAAGCAGCCGACGCAAAGTCGGGTGCCGTCGCCGTGGCACCGCGACATCACCCGCGATCTGCTACTCCAATCCTCCGACGACCCATGGCCACTTGACATCAACAGATCGCCGCGTGGCCACTTGACGACTGCAGCGATCTGCTACTCCAAGCCGCCGGCGCCTATCCGTCGCCGCGGCCACCTGACATCGACGGTAGTCTGCTTCTCCTTCCCTCGCCACCTCCCTAGCGATCTGATTCTCGGTCAGACGACACTTGTTTGGTGCCGTCGCTGTGGCCACCCGACATCGATGACAATCTGCTTCTCCTGCCCTCGCGGTCTGCTTCTCGGTCAGACTGTACACAAGGGAGGACAAGTCACGGGTAAGTGCTGCTCAACAAATTGCCCTAATCCTGTCAATATAGTCTGTAGTGATTGCAGATCTAATGCAACTTTATATGAACTAATAATATAGTTGCAATTTTTGCCCTAAATATGAATTGGTTTTACCTTTATATGATGTTACTGGGTTTTGTTTCAGAAAAACAATCATATTGTTCCGTAATTCCTTTAGACCTTAATGACATATATTCCAAAGCCTAAGTACCGTACTCCTGTTGAAGTGTCGGGATGATGACCAAAACAACAATTAAAGCTGCTGCAAAAGCACATGTTAGTGGTGCGATGAAGAAACAATCTATTATTAAGGACAGAGCAAAACATCTCACAAAGGAGCATAAATAGAGAAAATGATCAAAGTAAAGAGAAGTCATAAATCAACAACCATGATTTGTCGCTTGATCTCCTATCTTAAAAAAAGGCCACCAACAGAGGAACAAGATGCAACACTACGCCAATTCCAACAGGAACCAAACACAAAGTGGAGGATGTATGTGTTACTTCCAGTGAAGAGTGGTTGCCAGCAGAAGATCAAGTCTCCAGGAATGCCATAAGGAAATCCATGTATAGGAAATTAGTAGGGTGAAACCGGAGGTAGCGGTTTTCAATATTGATGTCTCATGTATAGATGCAAGCCTATGGAAAAATAGAAAATCATTGCCAAGATTAGCATATGGTACATATAATGCTCATTTCATAGTATCTTTCAGGTTTAGGTCACAGTAACGAATGGATGCACAAAAATGGAAGCTTAACCATAGGTGAACATGCTCCAAAGGGAGGTCTAGAATTTTTAGTGGAACCATTTTCAAGGTCACGGTTCATCTACATTGGTTACACTCAAATACTCATTTTATAATCTTTGTGCATATATGGATCCTGTTGGAAATATTTCCTCAGGCACTCTAAATTCATTTATGAAACATCTAAGAAATTATGCCTATTATCCGGGAATAAAAAAATTCTGCATTCAACAACCAAACACTTGTGTTGAATGAAATTCTGGAACAACGTGAGCATTTGAGATAGATTGATAGTATATAGCTCAAACAACATATAAGAAATTCCCCGCTAAATTCTCCCAGAGAGAAAACACCCACGAGCTCATCATATAGCTCACCTGGGTGATAGCTAAATCCTAGAAGTGCAGTAAGAAAGATCATTTTTTTTCCAAAACTAGAAGTGCATAAAGTAAAATTCATGGAATCATGCATGCATAATAAATTAATAATAGTGCATCGACCTGTTAGTAAGTGAAAATCGTTGGAAATTCTTAGACACTCACTAACCACCACTTGACATCAGCAGCGATCTGCTACTCCAAGCCGCCGACGCCTATCGGGTGCCATAACCGTGGCGATCCGACATCGATGGCAATCTGCTTCTTCTTCCCTCGCCGCCTCCCTCGCATTCTGCTTCTCGGTCTGACGACACCCTGTCGCTGTGGACACCCGACATCGACAGCAATTTGCTTCCCCTACCCTCGCCGCCTCCCACGCGATCTGCTTCTCTAGATGGGCATAGATCACAATTAGTTGCACACACTAGAATGTTGGACACTCTAAATATACAAGGACTAGCAGTACCAAGAGGCCATTATAAATGAATTACCAGCGAGCACTAGCAGCACGAGAAACATATAAAACATGCACTGACAGCACGAGAAATAGATAAAAACAACGAATTGGGAACAAGCAGGATCAGGATTGCAGGGTACTAACTAACAAAATAACTAGAAATAGCAGCTACTGACTATCATAAATGAATTAAATAAAACTTCCGGATTCCAGACTAGCATCATTAACCAACACAAAAACTAGCGGTGAACAAATTAAACTACATAATGGCAGTGCATTCTGACTTTGGGAGGAAGGAGAAGCCATACCTCGAAGTGAGGGTGCTGGGTGTGGCGACGTGAGGATCTGGTGTCGTGGCGGCTGCAGCACCCTGGGGCTCCGCCTCTGCCGAGGTACGCAGATGCGGAACGGGATGAGGTCGGGGTGGATTGCTTGCTCCGCCTGGTTCCACGCCGGTGGCCTCCTGCCCACCAGGCCTTCTACCCAAGATCCCGTCTGCGCATCAAGGCCCGCGGCGATGGATTTTGCAGCTGAGAAAGTGTTGGTCGAGCACTTGCTCAAGGGGGTGGTGGTGCGAGCACGACGGGGAGGGCAGCGCTGCGAGCACGGCGGAGAGGGTGGCCGCCGCCGTGGAGGCGGTGGGATCCGGTGGTTGGGAGTTAGGCGCCAGCTGCTTTGCTGCTGGCACTGTCGCGGCAGATCCGGCTCCTCGGCCCCTTTGCCGAGGAGCTCCAGGAGGCACGCTGGGGGACCGAGGCGGAGGCGGAGGAGCAGGAGCGGCGGGATGACTCGCTGCTGCTGCAGGTGTTGGCTGGAGCAGCTGGTAGCAGTGGGCGCCAGGCCCCAGCCATGGGAGCTTTGTTTTGTTTTGTTTTTGAAAGGCCCAGCCATGGAGCTGGCCCGTGCGGAGCAGGAGAGAAGTCGTGTGTCGGCAGGAGAAAGAAGAACGAAGGGATTGGAGGCAGGGGTAAAACGTGAATGAAAGATTTAGGTGATGTTCGTTGGTCTGGAGGAAACCAGCCAGCCGACTGGTTCCCCTCACGCGGCACTGTTCATCCATTCAGCCGAACAGTGTTTTTCTCTCACAACAAACCAGCCGGAACAGTATTTTTCAGCCAAGTTTCAGACCAGCGAACAGGGCCTTAGTGGAATATAAATAGTAATAATTAAATAAATAAGGAAGAAACGAAGAGTATGGCATTCTAGCGTGGGTATCCAGTTTGATAATGACATTCTAGCGAATCTCTTTTTGCGGGATGGCAAACAAGTAAAGCCCAAGTTTGGTAATGGCAAAATTTCAATTATCTCGCTTAGAAGCTGGATTTATCGCCGCGGCAGCCAGAGGTGGAGACGTGAAGGTGAAAAGAGACATGCAAGAAGAGCAAAGTCGGAAAGGGGCCGGAGTCGGAGATGGGAAAGAGTGGAACCATGGAGAACAGAGGAGACGATGTTGATTTATTTTATTTAACATTTAACACATAGGGTCCACTGTATGGTCTCTGATCATAGAAGACAATCAAATTTAAAGTCATCGAAACTATATATAATCAATCTTGTTTTATAAGCTTCACTTATGATTCATCTTTTTATGTTTTATAATCATTCTTTTTTTTATTCCTTTTATAGTCATTCTTGGGTACATGGAACACGTTGAAAATCACGGTTGACGCACACATTTTAAAGACTTGACAAACCGGATCAACGAAGGTAACTACTGGTTCTTGTATATGTATCGATCCTTTGTAATGTAATCAAATAAATTAATTACTACTTCTTTTTGACTTTTATATTATTACAAATCAGATGGTCAGCTTACACAAGTCGTTGATCCTGAAGAACATATATTTTTTTTAAGATATCAACGGTACTTTAACTTTAAAAATTAATAAATAATTTATATGCAGGATACTTCTAACTACAGCTTCAGCCATCTACGTGCTTCAGCTACAATAAATCAGATGTCACATCTTGGACTTGAAAATCTTTTAGATCATCTTTAATTGGTAACCAGCTGTAGCTTGATGTCCGTGCAAAGCACGTTGTCCTAGTCAAGCACGTTGTCCTAGTCAAACTATTGAGAGATTAAATTATTAATTGTACAATATATTATAAAACATGTATTGCAAAACACAAACTTGTTATTATTAACGTGAATGCTCTTGTGTTATGATTTGGAGTTATATTTTAACTATCTATCTTTCTTAAATATAGATAACATCATAACACACGCTCATACATATGTTATTGTTGTATTATGTGTTTTCGTTGCAACGGACGGGTATTTATCAGAATTGTGTCATGAAATTAAAGTGTGCAGAACTATTAAATAAAACTATATGTCAAGGACCGATATTTAATTCATATTTTATTTCATTCTATGACGTGACAGTTTTTTAGAAAAAAAAAGGTCGCTTCTACTTATTGCGGCTGTTTGGGCTGTGGCATGTACTGGCATTCAGCCCAGCCGTTCGGCTGAACCGCAGCGGCGCAGGCATCATCGCCTCGTCCTCCCTCGCAACTTCCGTCTCGCATGCGTCGACACACTTGTTCCGTCAAACCGCAAGTTCTAGGGTTTGGGCCGCCCGCCGCCAACGCCGTCCATCCCTCACGCAGCGCCAACGCCGGCGTCAATCCCTCCTAGGATATGCGGACGCATTGCATATCTCGCTTGCCGCTGCGTCCCCGACCTTTAGCGGACGGTGGCGGCGTAACTCCTCCACCAACTCACCTCCCGAAAGCTAGGCCCTAGACGCACATTGGCTGTGGTGGCATCTGGAGTTCGCGGAGTACTGCATCGCGGCGTACGGCCGTTGCCACTTCGCCCGCATCTCCGTAGCCCTGCCGTGACGACTCTCCCGCCCATCAGGTGATTGCTCCGGCTGCTCCCCTTCTCTTCTTTGTTTGCAAGCTGAAGATTCTACAATTCATGTCTATCAGATCTAGGATCTAGGGTTCTTATTAGCTGTAGCTTTGTGCTGTAACGTCCTACCTCATAGCCTTAGGCATAATTGTTTGACATTTAATAATTGTATATATAGCCAGCCAACTAGCCAAGTTACAATGGCAAGACAGAAGTTTCTTTCTTCCAGTTACACAGTTTATTTAGGCTTGCAGTGAGAAGATATTGACAGTGAAATGCTTACGCAAGAGTAAACACTAGGAATGGCAGTATGTCATTTATATTGCCGTGTGTAATTGAAATACCTCACTGCAAACCACCAGCTTCCTATGGTCATATCCTACAATCTGAAACACTAGATTAATGTTTGAGACAAGTTTTCATGCCACACCTGTTACTAAAATACATTTTTTTCAGAGTGTGGCCGCTCGGTGCGGTGCGGCATCGGCTGGTACTGCGTTTCTAGAGCAGGTCAGTGTCACCTCCAGTTCCAGAGCCGATTTGTTGTTGCCAATTTTTTTATCCCCAAATTTGTGCTAATTTGGAGTAGTAGATGTAGTGATTCTGTGATTTTTATGTGAAATGTTGCCAAACAGTGCCTTCAAAGTGAAGAAGAAACATGTAGATCTGAAGTGTTGCTGTGATGGAGGGGAGCTCTGCAGATTGATCTGAGCACCTAAGCTTGGGGAAAGCAAGCCTTCTGTCCAACATTTCCAACTTGGAATTGGATCCACCCCCCTACATTTGCAGATTTGGATACCCACAACGCAGTGGGATGGAGGACAGTTCAAGAAGGAGCATTCCGTGGTCAGTCTCACCGATGACCTCCTCCTGGAGATCCTCTCGCGTGTGCCTTACAAGTCCCTGTGCCGCCCCAAGTGCGTGTCTAAGTCCTGGCTTGCCCTCTGCTCCGATCCCATCGTGCGCAAGAAAGCACCCCAGACCCTATCGGGCTTCTTCTTCCAAAGTTACACAGAGCCTACATTCAACCCCTCTGACCTCCATCACCACTTCACCAACTTGTCAGGGAGAGGCCAGCCTATGGTTGACCCCTCCCTTAACTTCTTATTCTCAGCCAACTATGTCGAGGTCCGGTTTGTCCACTGCTGCAATGGCCTTCTTCTGTGCTGCTGCAAGGAGTCGTCGGATGGTGAATGTTACCGTGTTGTCTTCAATCCTGCTACTGAGAAGTGGACTGTATTGCCAAAGACAGAAGCAAGGCTAGGAAGATATGCCATGCATTTGGGTTTCGACCCAACCGTGTCCTCACACTTTACAGTGTTTTTGCTCTCAAAGTTCACACGTGGTATGCAGAATAATGTTGACGAGGAGGAGATTGATCATTGGCACCATCAAGTCAGAGCGGTGGAGATCTACTCATCACAAACTGGGAGGTGGACGTACCACCAAAGTCAATGGGGTGAAAAATCTATAGAAATATTTAGCTCCAGTGTCTTTTATAATGGTGCTCTGCATGTGACTACCCTTGATTCTTCAGGAAACACAGTGGACACAGAGGGAAAGATTTGGAGAACTATCCCTATGCTCTACTATTCTAGATTCATTGGGATGTCTCAAGGGCTCTTGTATGCCGTGTACTTGTCGGCATGAAAATTCGTCTTGTGCTGGGCACACGAGCAAGCCGGAAGGGTCTGCTCGATGGAGCTGGAGATCCGCCTGGCTTCAACGCAGGGATAATCGATCCTGCGTACTCCTCTCGAGACGTGCCAGTCAATTTGACCCTGCAATTAACAAGGAGAGAAAGTTTATCAGTAATTTAAGGTGGAACATGCCGATCTATGCCCAGACAGTTTCAAGTGTGCCGCTTTGAAAGCAGCCAGAAATCGGCTGTTACGGACTGTAAAGCTTATGAGTAGCGATTAATTTTATATTGACAGGTACAGTACACGTATATGTAAATAAGATCATCAGCTAGACAGGTATTGCTAGTGTAAATCATTAAGCCAATGAATCTAATTAGGAAAAGATATAGCACGCGAACGAATCGACTATCTGATACGAACGGATCTACAAACGCTTTGAATCTAATCTGTTACCACCAACAGTGAGGTTCGACCGGATCGATGGTACCTATGATGATAATAACAAACTAAAATCGAAGAATCCGCAAACACATCCGTACTTCGACAGGCTTTTCGAAAGACATGCTATACGTGAAGGCTCGGATGAATCGGTTAAAATAGCCGATTCAGGTGAAAAGGACTACAGCGTGTGAACAATCGACTATTTCACATGAACAATCCTGTGGACTCCTTAGACTGAACCCGCTAATCCTAACAGTGGGGTTCGACCGGATCGATGCAGCCGTGAAAAAGACGACGAATCAAGCCCTCAAAGCACACAGATCTATTCACGCTTAACAGAATCATGGACGCACACCGTAGGCGTTAACGCACAGGCGATTGGCTATTTAGCCGATGTAAGCATAGCAAACAGCTAAGGTCACGCCTAACCAGGAACAGATCTACTAACTAGCATCCCCCAATCTACAGTGCCATCAGTGGGGATCGACCGGATCGTTACATCCATAATGGTGAACTATAAACCAGATTCAACTAGCCAGCAAACCTCTTCAAGATTATTCATGCCTCAACCGTGTACTATGCGCGATCAAAATCGAAGTAAAAACAACCGATGAAGCATAACCCGTCGTTCAGAGTAAGAAATATCTGTTGTAATAAAAGCGAACGATGGACTGAAAGGATATAAGGCCGATCTAATTCGATCTCAACCGGGCGGATTGATATTGCTGTAAACTGATAACAATGAGACATCAGCAAGATCGGTAACTTAATGAATCTACCCGAAGGACGTCACCCTTAGATAGAGCCGATAACTTGACCTTAATCTAGTTCGAGCAGTGGAGGTCGACCGGATCGATGCAGTCGTACTTGAACTAGACAAGAATCGATAACTAGCTTATACCAGAGTCGCAGTGGAGGTCGACCGGATCGATGCAGCCGTACGAACAGAAGTATAAGCCATGACGGTACTTATAGACAAACCGGAGGTCGGCTGGACCGATGTAGCCTTGCTCGCTGAAGAACTCGCCGAGATCTACTCTACTCCTACTCCTAAGGGGTGGCCGGAGCCGAAAAAGTAAGTAAATTGTATTTGATTGATTGTGTCTTTATAATAGCAGGGGTCCAATATTTATACCTGGGGCCTAAACACGAATCCTACTCAAGTACGATTCATTACAATCTTTGGTATAAAAGAGAACATTCCTAATCTTAAGATAACTTAACTTGGACCGTAATCTTTTCCTTTTTGTAGAGTCCAATATGCATCTCCTGATGCCAACCGTAGCCCATTATCGTTACTTGCTGACGTTATTCAAAGGGAGTCGATTCCAGTGTCTCCTCTAAATCAGCTGATATCAATCTTCATGCAATCGAGTCCTTGATCGACACAATTCTGGAAGCTTCGAGTTCCCGCGTTCTTCTCTCCAAATTTTGGTGTAAAGTACTCTCCCAGGTACAACTCTCAGCTGTCAATTTGGGTTCTCAAGGATTATGGTGGCAAAGAGTGGAGTCTAAAGCAGGCTATCAATTCAGTTGAATCGTTTGGAACACATAATATTTTCTTTGAAGATGGTGTTCCACCTGATGTTATTGCAATCCATCCAGAATGTAGTTTGGTTTTCATGATTCTGGGGCCACGCAGAAATATTGTGTCCTACAATATAGATAACAGAAAAGTGCATGACATCTGCAATCTTGCAGACCAATCTGTGTTCCCGTATCTATCTTACATCCCTTGCTTCGCAGAATGGTTTTCAGATGGGCACCAAAAGATGCAGCATCTTTATGCCTTCATGCACGGTTAGTGTAAGGTATGGGCTATATCTTTTGAGTTTTAGGGCAGTGTGCTGGATTCATCATGTTTGTGCTCCTACCTTCCTGTACTGGGATGTTTCCATGGAGTTAGTTTCTCTATTTGCTTTCACTTGCTAAGTGTTGTGAACAAATGTCAGTTCCTCTTCCTCAAAGAGGCAAACGTGAATGAACTGGTATCGTATGTCTGGAAATTGTATTATGCAGCATTTTGATTCTCTTATCTATTTCTTAAGATGCTTTGATGAACTGAGTTAATCTATTTACTTTCATTTGCTAAATGTTATGGACAAAACCGTACTTGATCAAGTTTTAGATTCTTTTATTTTCATGTTTGTTGTAACAGAACCGCCCAATTTATACAAGATCAAGTACGGCTGTCCCCGCTTAAAGCGTTGACACACACATACTTTCACTCATATAAACCCGGTAGTCCGCCGAGTGTCCCAAAAGACCTCGGTAAATCAACATCACAACCAAGATCGCGTGATTAAGCAAATACACATCACATACGCCGGGTTGCAGCGAAAAATAATATTACAAATGAATTCACAAATAATAGTACAAGTTTGGGTTTTAAAACCGATTAGTGAAAACAACATAGCTTTCAAAAGATTACATTAATATATGTTCCAAATACATTGCTAGCATAAGTGACATCATCCGACAAAAGCATATAGATGAGAAGTAACTATAGAATCACCGAGCCCATCGGCGGTTAGCCACCATCTTCACAGGCCAAGAACTTCACCTGCAACATGGTGGGATAAACCCTGAGTACGAGAAGGTACTCAGCTAGACTTACCCGTCGGAAACCAAAAATAAAGGACACCAAGGGTCATGCAAGGCTTATGAGGTGGGCTAGCTTGACACATTTGCATAAAAGAGCTTATGAGCATAGTAACCAATTTAAACTTAGCATCAAGCTTATCATCATTTACCTGTCCACTAGATTAGCACCTGTACTAGAGCACTCACTTATTAGGAGCAAACAATATTAACCATAGCAGGTATAATAAGGCTGTCATCATCATATCATCATTTCCGAACCATTAAGTTATTAAGTGTATCTACATTGGAGATAAGCCCGTCAAGTTCTCACTAACCGGGAGAGACGGCGATTCGAATCGAATTACAACTCAGCTGAGGGGGTATTCCTAACTCTCACCCTGGCATACTTTGCAAGGGTAGCCGTGGGTCACCTTTGGAACATCTCAGGAACCAAATTCGCGGGTTCGATCAGCGCCAGCACTCTCAGGGATTACCCTTCTGCCAGGACGATCAGGACTTTTAAATCACCTGCCCTTGGACTCACGCCTACGGCTCCCTTCCGAGGCGCACTTTATACTTATCGACTCCCGGCCTGAGGTGAGCTACTCGGCTTCGTGGTCGGTCTCCAGACCCGGCCAACTAAGAGAGAGGCATGCGTTCAACATGAACAGGAAAGGCTCCAAGAATCAGTCCTTAAGCGACACAGACGGAGTCACTGCAAACCGGCAAGCCTCCGTCCGGTCTTCATTTCAAATTAAGACTGGTTCTTTTCCACGATAGCAAATATAGCCAACCGTGCCACATGTATCTTCCTATATCTCGCAGGTGACAGGAAATCACCCGACTTCTACCGCGTTTAAGCAGGGCTAAGCACTACTCGAGCCTGAGCTACATAGGATTCAGGGTAACAATATCTGGACAAGGAATAGGTAACCAATGCAGCAAGTGTTTGCATCCAACACCTAAACTTAATGCAACAATATATGTAATAATAACACTCAGAATCGCAGTTCGGAAAATAGGAGGCTTAATATGCTCCGGGGCTTGCACGGATCCGACACAAGTCAGTGTTAGGTAGACGACACTCGCTAAGTGAGCATCTCCCGTCCTAGCACTTGTCCAGTCCTTCCACCTTCGGGATAGGTCCACCATACACCGTCTTCGGGTTCGGCTCCAACATCTCATCCTTCACGTGGTGCATCTAGCGTACCTAGATGAGATGCAATATGCAAGTGCATAAATATGAAGAATAGCACCATGAGACGCATCACAAAATAGCAAGCAAGACAAGCATAGTTTACACTAACACACTTAAGTACTTTGCGATGCTTAACTTAACATCACACAATCTATCATGCTAAGATAACAAATAATATTATACATGGCACATAAGTCTCACAAGATCTCAGGTGTATTTAACTTAATTACTAAGGACGTGAACCACATCTAGCAACATGCAAAGCAAGTCAAGGGGAAGCAACAACTATAACCGGAATATGCAAATTTCTAGACTTGCAAACATCGGCTTCATAAATCAATCATATCTGGAGTTTTATAAATCCAAATGATATGAAACAAGACATTCTGGAAAGCTTAGGAAATTATCCACATTTCATCTTTAATCATCTCAGCATGATTCCCAAGTTATCATGACCAAACATGCTAATCTTTTAAGTCTGCGCAAAATGTAATCAAAATCTGACAGTAGACTTATTAAGCATGCAACTCCTAAACTATCAGACCTAGGATCATGAAAATTTAACACAAGCAAGATAAGATAATCATATACGACTTTTGTATTTACCAAAACTACAGTAAACATCATTTACACCATGAAACTAGTTGCACAAGTAACACTTGCACCAGCAGCCTAAACAGCAGAGGCACAGCTATGGACAGAAAACTTATAGGAACTTTAGAGAAGCATAAATGGAGTTCTAGACCTCCGACAAACATGATTCTTAACTTTATGGAAAGCTTATAAAGTTACCTACAACTTTCTTATTATCATCTTAAGATGATTTCATAGTTAACAAGGTCAATTAAACCAAGGAAGACATCTATATCCAAAACATGAACAGAAATGGATATGCTACTTTAAACAGCTATAAGTTGAGTTCCACATGTCCAATAATTATGGTTCTGGAATTTTTGGAAAGCTTAACAAATTTTGAACAACTTTGCTATAAACATCTAGAACTAATTCTGCTACTAACAAGGTCACACATGCCACACAAAGCAACCCTGTCTGGGTTTGGGCAGAAACTGCCACAGTACTTTAAACAACTATAGCTAAACACATACTTAACCAAAATTGTGCTCTTTAGCTTTTTGAAAAGCTTATGAAAATTACTACAACTCATTTATTATCAACAAGGCATGATTCATAACTTAACTGAGCCAAACAATGCATACATGCAGAACTGTCCAGAATAGAAGCAAAGCAGCATATGTCATTTGTTATTTTTCATATCTCTAAATCGATCAAGCCTAAAATCCTGAAATTTTTACCACACATCAAACATCACATGAGTAGCATGCCACAAAAATTTCACTTCATTTGGAGCCCTAGATCTATAGTTATAAAAAAGACAAATACCACTAGCATTACAAACCTAGCTGCATAAATATATTTTTACAGCTAAAACTTTAAAGTAAAACATGTAATATTATAGATCTAGTGCATAGAGAATTTCACAAGGATTCCAAAAAGTCCTCATTTGCTATTTTACGAATTTTCTATGAATTACTATGAATTTTCAAAGTGGAGCATTCAAATCTGTAAAAACAGAGAAAAAGGAATTGGAATCTTGCATCGGGGTCCCTACGGAAAACACAAATTAAACATCAGCGAATCGATCCTTCTTGGCACTATTCACGCAAGTCTATATCTTTGCATTTACCCCTCGCTTTCATCAAATTCTAGCGCGACATCCTGTGTCGCATTAGAGAACGAGGAGGCAAGCGGGCCGGTGGTGAGGGCGCGTTGGTAGCCTGAGAGGGGAGGCTGGGCTACACGGCGGCGAGGCGCACCTGTGACACCTGCACAATGGCTGACGACGACCATGGCTCTCTCAGCCGCCACGCAAGCTAGGGCGCGACGGTGGCAGCTTTTGCGGGCGGGAGAACCGAGGCGCACCCCGGCGACCGAAAGTGTGCGCGCGGCGTGAACGGCCCGGCCTCGCACGCGCACACGTAGTGGCACAAAGCTTAAGCTTGGGGCGGAGGCGAAAGGGAGAGAGCAGCGCCGCGGCGGCCATGGGAGCTCGCCCGCCCGGCGGTCATGGCGGATGCGGGCTCGGCGCGAGTGGAGCGCGGAGGAGGAGAGAGAGGAAGAGCACGGAGTGGATCATCGCCAGACAACATGTGGCGCGCTTGTTGAACAAGCGGGGCGCGACAGAGAGGCAAGGCACACGGCAAAATGGCGGACGCGCTTTCTGTGCATGGCGGCCACGTCTGGACACGCGCCGCCGATTGGGGCATTTTACCGAAAACGTGTGGCGGCAGCAAAGAAAGCGACCAACGTGGGGCACGATTCTGGGCTGTTTGCAGGCCAAATTTGGACATGGGCCCAAAACGAAGTTTGCTCACCTTGGTCAGCTCTACATTTCTTATTAAGGGTGCCAAGTCATTTGAGCTATGGATTAGTAGGTAATTAAGCCACAAACTGTCGATTGTCGGTAGCCTTGATAACGGTCACGGAAATTCACTTTCGAAATCAAAACTCGGTCAAACTCAGTGCAACTTTTTGCATGCTCTTCTCCATAAAATAACCTTCAACTTTTATTTTGGACCAACTCAAGTTGCTTAACGAATTTCGAGAACGCGGAATGCCAACGGCGACGATGATGAATTCCAGACTTAGAAAAATTTCTAAGTCCAAAAACAACCCGTGATCCAATTTTCGAGCCTCTGTTTGACTTAGTTCCAAGTTGATATGGCTCTTGTTCCAAAAACAAAGTTTGTTCTACTCTACTCAATCTTCAACTTTTATTTAAGGTGCAACTCCATGCAAGCACTGTAAGTTGGTGGTCAACATAGGTCAAAGTATCGTCACTATAAAGCTTAAATTAGAGTTATTGACCGATTGATGCATTTTCTTGATCTCGGCTCAACATGAACCCTTCATGACTTTTGTTCTGGAGTTCAATTAGAGTCATTTGGGCAAGGTTGCAAAGTTTGGTTGATGACCTACATTTCCATTCACTTAATAGTGCAATTG